CCCCAAAACCCCAAAACCCCAAAACCCCAAAACCCCTTATATCATTCGGGCAGTTGAAGAATTCTAAACAGGCATGTCTAAAATAAGTACTCTAGTGAATAATTCAGCAGAAATTATGAACAAAGCATCAACGGAGCATATTTGAAAATAGGTTGATAAATTCGGAAAACCCTTTAGTCTCGATAGCTTTGGAACCACTCAGCACCATTTTGGCTAAAGAAAGTTTAACATATTTCTTCATAAATTGGGACTGGCTCCTTATATACTTGGAACGTTCTTTTAACAATATGACATTGAACACTAGTTGCTGCCTAAAAATAAGCTCATTGTCTCTTATAATGCAGAGAAGATCTTATTTCTACTCTAAAGATGAAAAATCGCTTCCTTCTGAATAAATGGCTTCTTCTATTATCAGTTAATAATTAGGCTTTATTTTCATTGGCAATAAAGTGATGCTGAGGAGATAAACCCTTTTTGAACGGTGACTTCTTATTAGATCCCTGCTGAGGCAATTTTGGGCTATTCTTAACTCCTAAACGAACCCTCTTGGACTTATCCCTGGTCTTGATAGCTCGGGATGGCAGTCTATCACCACATCTAAATTGGGAGGTAATCGGCCTCTTCTTAGAAGTTTGTTTCTGATTTGCAGCAGGCTCAATTTTATTTGAAAGAAATTTAGTTCCTACCATCCCTGTCCGACGGAAGTCTTCACGAGTACAGAGTCTAGCATTGGCTGCACCTCCGAAATTGTAATCTCTAGCTCAAGCGTTAAAGTCATAGAATAGTAAATTCTGAGATTCAGTTGGATTGGTGTTCATTTCTTCCTCTTCAATTCTTTGTTGGTTTATTTCGATCCGAATCTGATGGCCAAGCATCTTATTATATTGCTGAGCACGAGGCGCAATGATCTCCTCTCCTGGATTCTCAGCAATCCCAGTCCTAAGTCCGAATCCGTTACTGTACGTCTTGCTTGGAATTTGATTGGTTGTGATGGGGATACTCTTCTTGCTAGCATGAGATGGATTTTCAGCTATTTTATAATAAAAAAGTAGTCTTGAATACCCAAGAGTCTGACTCAAAACACTTACATAATTTTGGAAGCTGTCTCGCCTTTCGATTGACTTTGACAAATCTCTGTTTAATACCGTAGTATGGGTAACTATCAGTTGTACCAATCCTGTAATGATGGCTCTGTTGACGCTTGACCTGCCTTGAACCCATCTCTCTCCATTTCTGGCCGCTATTGCCATATAGCGTTAACTTTTTCTTTGGGTTGAACTGCATCTGAGTGCCACATATGTACCCGTGATTATTGGTACTTTTATTTGCCTATAAAAAGTAACATTAGTATTAATGTTTGGGAAATTTCAAGATACTATCATTTGCAGAAGCTATTTTCTTTTAAATAATTTATGAAAGTTTGGCAAGTAGGCACGAGTCCAGCAGACTAAGTCTTTAGGCCAAAACCTCTTCGTGAGGGCTATCTCTTTCTGTGAAATAAGTGAGCAATCACCAAAAGGGCGATCCCTCACGAATCTGACATTCACAGAGACATTTTAGGATCTGAAATAAATCCTCTTCATATAATTAGTGTTAAGAAATTAATTTGACTGCCTAAAGGAGAATTTTCTTACTCTTAGATCCACTATGGGAAATGTCTAACCGCTCCTTAGTGCCGCTTCGGATGCCCTGCTCAACAAGGATGAGAGGCTTCTTTCTCTTTTTGAGGGAGATACGGAGAGGATCCATTACGTTCTCCCTATGTTGTCCTACCAACTCTTTAGAATTTTGGAATTGGGCCTGATAATTGTTCTTCTGATTACCAGTACTTATATCTCGAATAAACTTGCTCTGAACCTGGCCTGATGGAAATGCCTCAAGTGTAGATTGCGAAGGAGGTGATCCATAGCTCGAATTCTCTCCGTTTATGTAAGGACTCTGGTTTATTTGTTTGTCTCCAAACATTTCAAATTTTCAATATATTTTTAATTATTGGGGTTTTGGGGTTTTGGGGTTTTGGGGTTTTGGGGTTTTGGGGTTTTGGGGTTTTGGGG